GTCTTGATTGTATAAAAGGTTTACTACAAAAAGTTCAGCATCAATACAAGCACTGCAGTCTGCTTGGAGAGAGATCCGGGGCCAATGTGAATCTCTTCTGCCTAACAGATTCAGCTCCCTGTTTATATATGAGAGTTGTCGTAAACCTAAAGAAAACACATCTGGCTTTCCTCGAGCCCTCCTCATCTGCCTGGAAACAGAGGGGGGAAAGGCCCCAGCTCAAATTTAGGGTAACCATTAGAGCTGCACCTAATGCCCTAACATATACATTCAGGCTTTCTCCCAGTTCCTCAGGACCTATGGGCTTCAGACCCATAGATTAACTTCCTTCAAAGAGAACACAACACATGGCATTTCAGACACCACATCCTTATTATAGACTGTATAATAAAGGACACATTTGGGGCACAGTAATATTTAAACGCACAATATGTAACTTCTTCTGCCAGGGATCTAAACAATGAAAACAGAGGAAATAGTTAGTGTGGGAGTACGGATACACAAGGGAGGAGAGAATGGCATTTTAGCACCAGTCTTTATTTCTGGTCGCCTCGCCTGGCAACCACACACACACACATATATACACGGGTCTCTCAACCCACACACACGTACACACTCGTCCACCGGCTGCTCCAGTCTCAGGAACCCAACCTACTGCAAGAGAGCAGAACCAGGTTACCAGCGTGCTCTTACTGATGGCCTGATTACCTGATTCGGCAAAGCTGTCTGATCACCGGCTGAGCCACTTCTCCCTGTTGTCCAGCAGTTGGCGCCCTAACCACACCCCGCCGTCACGGTTAGATGACATTATGAAGAAGTGTGGTGTTTTTGGTGGAAGTAGTGTTTTTGTCTTTGTTGTAAAACAACAGCAAAATCTAGCCTGAGTGCTTCAAGCTGAAGTGTTCTCAAACTAGTTAATATTTGATTCACATTTTCTTGAAAGAAATTTTGGATTTCTTTAACTTCTCTGGGTTGGAGATTTGTTGGAAACATTTGAGATAATGCAGATATACAAATCAACAACAAATTATATGTTTATGGAAACATCTTACTGTGTGGCTGTTCAGATGTATGAGGGGCTGGTCTGGGTGTCAGTGAGGAAACTACACATTACTCTTTTTATTCCTCTCATTGACTGTACAATAAAGGACACATATGGGGCCCAATAATACTTAAGATTGGCCTCATGAAACATCTTACCGTGTGGTTGTTCAGGTGGATGAGGGGCAGAGGAGGTCTCAGGATGTAGATTCCTGAAAAGATCAATGGTTCAATGGTTCAACCAGTATACTATTTACTTCCTCTGCAGAATAACACATATGGGCCACAGTGTAGAAATTGTCAAATAAAACCTTTGACAGTCCTCCCACTTTGCTGGGGACAGTGGAGGGGGCTGAGGCCTAAAGACAACAATATAATTTATTTGTATACATTCACATGGTTAGATATAATAATTTTTTAGTCTACGCCAAGAAATATATCCTATATATCATCAAAAATCATGTATGAATCAAAATGTTGTGTGTGCCACAAAAATTACAATATGCTTGTATAATAACATGAATACAGTAACAGAAAAGTAACAGAAAAGCACAGAGATTGATGTAATTTAATATAAAAAACTAAGAGACACTGTGACACACACATCTACCCATCATTTATCTGGTCTTTGGTCAAACGGTGTCTTACCTTTGTGGAATAAAGTAGAGTAAAGTAGTTGTAGATCGACATCTGCTGAAGTTTGGTGGGCGCGGGCATCTGCATGCCAAAGTGTCCTGATGCTGAACCCCAAAAACATGCTGCTAATAGATGCACTGTGTGAAATTTGAATGGGTGAATGGCATTGCACATGTAGGGCAATTTGAGTGGCCATCAAGATTAGAAATACAAACCATTTACCAGTTATACTTATGTATAAAACCAGAAGAAACTCCTCAGCTAACTAAACTCCAAGCATGTTGTAAGGGAATAGAAACCTGGAAAAGAGATGCATCATTTAATTATATACAATATTACAATATGCCTACTACCATTATTGCCAATACCTCTATCATTACAATTGTTAGAACTGCTCCCTTCACCTCTGTCAGACTTGTCTTTTATATAAATAAACAATGATACACCTCTCTTTTTATGTGAGGCTTTGTCTTTTCTCATGAATGATGCAAATATTTGTTGATGTGCTCTGCAACACGCAGCATCTTTTGCACATCGCACTTCTGTCATAATTTCTCGCTATCTTGAACACATTCTTGCTTCACACTTCCTGTCATGAGGGTGGAGTATTTCTAGCGACACAGTGTTCAACACAGCTTTCAACTGTGGTTGACAGCGGCCTCTTCCTGTTTCTGGTAAGTTTTTTTCCATAAAACATTGTTTTTGTGACTTTTACAATCATTTGTGGATATTCTTAAAAACCTGTTGATTCGAACAATGTCTGCAATAAGTGCTAAATAAACTTTAGATTCAAACTATTGTATTTCATGGTGTCACAAGTAAGATAAATCAGGCTACTATGAAAAATGGCTTGTGACAGTTTATATCAAGACGAAAGAGGAAGACAAGCGTCTTTTTTCTTGGGAGGAAGTTTGCTGAATTTGACACATGATTTACACATTTTCGAGAAAGGGTAACAG